TCCTGTCTGGCCGCTCACAAAGGGTCAGATTTGGTAATCATACCTTATCAGCCTTTATTCTTAACACTGGTACACCACAGGCATTCCCACTCACATTAGTAATACTATTGCTAAATTTGCAGATGATACAACAGTGGTGGGACTTAACTCCGGTGGGGATAAGTCTGCCTACCGAGATGAGGTGGACCAGTTGCTTTCATGGTGTGGAGACAACAACTTGGTCCTCAACACCAATAAGACCAAGGAGTTTATAGTGGATTATAGAAGGAACAGATCAGACATCCAGCCCTTGCTTATCAATGGAGACCGAGTGGAGCAAGTGGCCAGTTTTAAGTTTCTGGGTGTTACCCTAAAAGAGGACCTGACCTGGTGTGCCCACATTGCAGCCCTGGTCAAAAGGCAGGGCAGTAGCTCTTTTGAATTCTGCTGTACAGTGCAGTGTTGGTGTGGTGTTGGGGATTTCCGGTTCAATGTGTGAAGGGTGAAGGATGTGTGTTTGTGTTTATTTTCATGGTCATGGTGATAATGTGCACTGAAGATGGTGTTTGATTTCATTGTATGAGGTGCAATGACAATAAAGTAAACTAAACTACACTAAACTAAAAAGATCTGCTTGTAAGTTTCGACATGGTTTCATTATTCACTCAAGTCACGATTTTAAAAAAAAACACTAGAAATCATCAAAAACAAATACCAACCACCCAAACACCTCATGGAACAAGCAGAACACTGCTTAACCAACACATATTTCATATACAAAGGACAAAGATACAAGCAAATTGAAGGAGCCCCCATGGGATCACCACTGTCACCCTTCATTGCAAACCTGGAAGAATCATGGAAGAATTCAAATCCAGAGCCCTAGCCAATGCCACCCACAAACCCAAACTATTGTTAAGATACATTGATGACACATTTGTAATTTGGCCCCATGGAAAAGAAAACCTAAACAATTTCCTAACACATCTAAACAGCACACACCCCAAAATCAAATTCACCATGGAAATGGAAACAAACAAACAACTACCATTCCTAGATGTACTAATCTACAAAAAAACCGATGGCACACGGACTTCCGGTTGCAAGGCTTCGGCGGCGGCAGGAATCCGCGACTCTGCGGGTCCCTGCTGCGCTCGCTGCTGAAGTACCCCCGATCCAATTGGATTTGGGGGTTGTCACTACCCCGGAGAGGTAGCGGAAGATAGAGGAGATCTGGGCAGGGGTCTGGGAACATCACAACCCCTTTCCCCAGCTGGCTAGACTCCTTTTTCCTGAGGCGGTGGAGTGGCTGTCAGTAATGGCAGCCACAAAGAGATCTTCAACTGGACAAGATTTATGTAGAAGGAAGAATTAGAAAGAGAAAGTTTTGGGGCTGAACCGGGACATTAAGATACATTTAAACACCCTGGAAATCTGACTCTTTGATTGATACATTTGTTTCCAAAAGAGGCTATTAAAGCGGCGGATGAAAGTGCTGAGGGAAAGTTCACTCCCCTTCCTTACGGAGATAGCAAACGGACATTGAAAAACCTGCTTCTTTACAGAAGGTAAAAATAAGCTCTTTGTTATATGTAGGAAGGGAGAGGACTAAAAAATCTTTAAGAATTTGTTGGAGGAGACACCTTGAAGATTACGAGACCAGAAATTAACTGTAATAAGGCTTTAAAATATATTTTGGGATTTTGCCCCAGGAGGAGAAAGTGCAAAGAGAAGAAGAGGAAATATTTTGTGTCTGTTTGGATTGCTTGATAACTTTGGAACGCTTAGAAATTACTTTAAGATTAAAAACATTTGGGTTGTTCTTTAAAAAAAAAGAAGAAAAAGCTTTACAATGGCACTATCTGTGGATGAATTAAAAATGGAATATGAAAAATTAAAGGAAGGAGAACAGGAAAGCAAGGATTCTTTGGGAGCTGTCTTCCACTTTTTAGAAATGGCAATTTCTACTTATCAGCAACTACATGGGGAAGAAGAAGAAGAAGAAGAAGAAGAAGAAGAAGAAGAAGAAGA